TCAAGAGTGTCATAAGGTTACACAGCTTTCCGTACAGCGTAATGTACCCGAAAAGAGAGCAGCAAAACAATACTCAGAGCAAAAGCAAGCTAAAAAAATATTTTATTCTTTTCTAGTAGTGAACTCCTCTCTCCCTTACTACTGCTTTCTGCACTGCTCCAGGTGTTGTGGTTTAATCCCAGCCAGGAACTAAGCACCACAGAGCCACTTGCTCACTCCTCCCCAGTCCCACTGGGACTGGGAGGAGAATCGAAAAAAAGTAAAGCTCGTGGGTTGAGATAAGAACAGTTTAATAACTAAACTAAAATAAAACAACAACAACAATAATAGAAGATAACAAAAAGAGGGAGAAACAAAACCCAAGTGAGGCACAATGCAGTTGCCCACCACCCGCTGACCAACCAATGCCCAAGCAATGATCTACCCCTTGCTGCCAACTCCTCACAGTTTATATGCTGAGCATGATATCCCATGGTATGGAACAGTCCTTCGGCTAGTTCAGGTCCTGGCCACGCTCCCACCCAGCTTCTTGCGCTCCTGCTTGCTGGCAGACCACGGGAAACTGAAAAATCCTTGACTTAGGGTAAGTGCTACTTAGCAACAACTAAAACTTCAGTGTGTTACCAACATCATTCTCACAGTAAATCCAAAACACAGCGCCGTACCAGCTACTGAGAAGAAAATTAACTCTATCCCAACTGAAACCAGGACACCAAGATAAATATCAAGTGCGTTCAGTCAAAACTATTCCCTTGATCTGAGACATCCTTAGTGTGGGTGAGGGATTACAAGCCTGAGAGGTGCAAGTCTGGGCTGTAAATTCATGTTCTCCAGTAAACCTCGGGGCAGCCATCAACCAACAAGAACTAGTCTACCCACCTTGGTCCCTCAGTGTTTCCAGGCTCAAGCTTCTTAAGATTTAACTCTCTACAGTCCACCAGAACGTCAATGTAACTCAGGTAAATGTAATAGAGGTAAAATGAGAGATGAGCCAAAAACAATCTAGTACCTCGGATCAACAGCCTGGGAAGCGTAAGAACTGGCTGTAGCAAGCACCTGAAACTCAGCAGAGCTATGTAACACAGTCTGCTGCTGCTCCTCTCTTCCAGGCTCCTCCAGCAACATAAATCACACTGGAAGATCTTCACAGGGTCAACACGGAATTGAAAGCTGATTTCAAATATTATGTTACTAAGCAGTAGCACACTATTGGAAAATAAAACATAATTTATGTCTCAGCACAGATACAGAGTCTGCTAAGCTAGTCCCAGAAAGCACTTCTAGAGCACAGCACAGAACAGAGTTTATTACAGAGATGATTAGCAACTAAGCACATTTCCTTCGTGTGCTTTTTACAACCTAAACATCATTCAATGCATATGTATACCAACTAAAACTTGGCTTGTCAACACTGCAATATTGCAATATAATAGGGAGAGAGGGTAAAATACAGTCTCAAACAATACAAAATCACAGAATCACAGAATGTTAGGGGTTGGAAGGGACCTTGAAAGATCATCTAGTCCAACCTCCCTGCCAGAGCAGGACCACCCAGAGTAGGTCACACAGGAACGCGTCCAGGAGGGTTTTGAATGTCTCCAGAGAAGGAGACTCCACAACCTCTCTGGGCAGCCTGTTCCAGTGCTCTCACAGTGAAAAAGTTTTTCCTTATGTTGAGGTGGAACCCCCTGTGCTCCAGCTTGCACCCATTGCCCCTTGTCCTGTCACTGGCCATCACCAAGAAGAGCCCGGCTCCATCCTCCTGACACTCACCCTTTACGTATTTACAAACATTGATGAGGTCACCCCTCAGTTTCCTCTTCTCCAAGCTAAAGAGACCCAGCTCTCTCAGCCTTTCATCACAAGAGAGATGTTCCACCCCCTTCATCATCTGTGTGGCTCTGCGCTGGACTCTTTCAAGCAGTTCCCTGTCCTTCCTGAACTGAGGGGCCCAGAACTGGACACGTTATTCCAGATGCGGTCTCACCAGGGCAGAGTAGAGGGCAAGATAATTTTTGGCTACGTAATTAAAAAAAATTGAATTTTTTAAAGCTATACTGACATGATATCAGGAGTGAAACTGTAATTTTTAGATCACTATATATACAGTTGCCTGTTAGATGCATTTTCAAATACTATATCAAAACATAAAGAAAAACATCAGTGGAAACTAGTGGTCCGTTCAGTTCCATGTCATGTGTCCAACAGTGGGAACACTTATGAAATGAGAAAGCTGACACTTTCTGGGGTTGTTTCCCTTCTAACTGCCCTGGCATTCAGATGTTCAGCCGCAAGAGCCTGGCCTCCTGTTGAACAAGACTGCCACGTGTGGATAACAGGAAACTGCAATTTTTTTCAGTTCAAATACAAGCATTACTGTAATACAGAATTAATTTTTTTTTCTAGACCTAACTACTGCCAGGTCTAGGTCTACCACAAAATAAAGCAAGACTAGTTTTTGTCATTTTGCTGTTAGTCCATTAAGACACACAAAATACTAGTTTTCAATTACTGCCCTTTTATTATTCCCTGCTTGACCTGCAATCTTCACTGTTTTGGATGCAGAGGGATCTTATCCTCAGGCAAAAGCACAATTTACTATCATTAGTCAAGCTCTCCACAGATCTTGCCAACTTTTTCCAAGAAAAATTAGGAAAAACTAGGACATGTAATTCTAATATTTGTTGTACAAAAAGTGAACATGAGTACAAAGAAGAAAGTCAGAAAAAAACCCAATAAGTCTGACAGCCCATTGTAAAGTATCAGTGAGAAGCTTGGGCAAACTTTGCTTCTGCTTCATGGATTCACAAACTGAGATCCAAACAAGGTTCGAAAGGATAAAAATAAATAAAACAATATTTTCCTGGGCAGTGTTTGCCCTCCAAGACAAACACTTGGTGACACTGACTGTCTGGCAAGTAGAGTGAATGCTGGAGCCAGAAGTTTATCAAAACAGCCATTTTCCTTTCCTCCCACTTAGCAAAATGTAACATTATCTTAGCACAGGGGTTTCAGAACTTAGGCTCTTCAAAACTATGACTTTTTGCCTTTTGTTTTGCTATGAAAGCACAGATACGGTGAATCAGCTCAAAAGATAGTATTTTCAGCCTGAAATCATGTTCGCAAACAAAACTGGACACTATCACATCACTACTTTGGCACACAGGCGGGCAAAGTAAGATCTGTGCAGGCCAGAGCTGGAAGATGCCATCCCTCACAGCACTTCAGTTCAGCAATGCGCTGCAATGTTTGCTTTCAGACTCAAAATTTGAGTCTGAAAGGCCATGGTCAGAGGGTCTCCAGGGGATGCACGGGGCCTTCCCGCCCCATAGCTGACACAACCCTACCCCTGAATTGCTTCCAGGCCACGCATGGCAAGCCTCTAGGGCAACAGTTAATTTCCAGAGACAGCCTCATGAAGATAGAATTATCCAGGAGCACACAATCATGGAGAGTCTGACAAGCCAAAAGAAAAGTCTGGTGTTTTGTGTACTCTGAGGTAAAAACCCTTCCTGAGTTTACCGATTCATACCTGCACCAGTTGACAGTCATTTATCACTTCCTATCTCTATGCAATACACAAATCAAAAGAAATCCTAAATGCACAACCTGGGACTGAGTATCCACAGAAACAAGAGAGGACACACAGCCTCAGCATACAAGAGACTCCTATTCAACCTATCACGGGTAAAGCAGAGAATACTTTACCACAAATTACAGGCAAGGTAACGGACAAGGAATACACCCTCATGCATTAGACAACCAAAATGTTCACTTCTTAATAGGAAACATGGACTATTCAACTGCATGGAAAATTAGTATTGGCCAGTCCTTAAAACTCGTAATTTTTGTAATCTCACTCTGCCAGCATCCGGCAGATTCTTCAATTTTATGGCCTCCAAACATACAACCCACTAACAATTCTGACCTTGGATATTAAAATACCGTGTTGAAATGATCAGTGTCTGCTGCTGTACCTGAGAGTTCACCGTACACAGATCCCTGTTTCCAAGCTCACAAGATGCAAAAGCAGCACACAATGCAGGTGCATACTGATTTCTTAACATATAGATGTGTTTTCAGGAGTCGTACATCAGTGTAACTATTAAAATCAATTACTTGATTTTGATTCATGACCATGTTCTTTCTGGCTTCAAAAATCTACAATAAGATTATTTATTATTCCATAAACATAACTCAGGAACACTAAATACACCTTAACTACAAACTGGGAGTATGGTCAAACAGAAGCTACTGGATTTCATGCTATAAACTTTAGGACACTCAGTCCCACTGAGATGATGATTCTTCTATAGCTGTCAAAACAAACACAGATTCAGGCATGCTTACTGCTCAACAGCTGGTTACTTTTCATTTGCATCAATACACAACTGACAGCCTACGTAACTACATCGGAAGACAGAAGCATCATAAAAAGGCTGAGTTGTTATGTTGCATCTTCATGAACTGAGATGTCTGCGTATTTCATTTCTAAAAAACTGTACATCTTCAGACACATGATAAATACAAATCACAATTTAACATGCCTGCAACAGTATTTCTATGACTGCTGAGAACTTGAGCAGTAACATACAGAAGAACACTGGACAAAACTGTGAATGCTACACTCCTAATTTTACAGGTTTTCACCACTGGAAACTTTTATTTTCAGATGAGGATTTTTTTTTTTTTTTGAAGCTAAGAAGATTTCATATAATGATTCTAGCTACTCCAGTCTAAGTTTGATGATTAAACATCTAATTTAATTTAAATAGTGATTCACTGTTCAAAAATCCAGTGACATTCCCTGCCTTGGTCTACATTTAATACAATTGGAAGAAACTGAGCACTGCAAGAAGTTCTCTATTGCTCTATTTAATATAACGGAGAGTTATGCAACTACAGAAGATAAACCTTTATTCTGAAAGGGTTTATGGGCCCCAGGGATATCTTTTTCATAGAAGTAACATCTTTATACTGAAATAGCAGCTGTTCCTTACCTGAAAAGAGTTCATGCATCGAAGTGAAGGTGGTAGAGAGGTAGTACTCAAACCCAGTATCAGGAGTAATTCCAAACAGGTTTCTGATGGAAACTTTAAAGGATGAACTCCCATATCATTTTCCCATGCATCAGCAAGGCTATAAAGTTAAAAAACAAAAAACAAAAAGAAAAAACTGTTACATTCTCTTAAAATACATCTAAACCCCAAGTTTCATATAAATATTAGAACGTGTTATAATATTGTGATAAAGGAGTCTCTTCACATTTTCCCTTAAGTCACAGATAAGTGTGTTTTACCAGAAATACAAGGTGCATTTAGAATACCTTATCCATAACACAAATCTTACAAAATCCGAAATATGAAAGCAAAACCTAGCGTACATTAGAGCAATCTGCTTATGTTTCTGACTCAAACTTTTATTGTTTCTGAACCAAATTTCATCTGCCACTGGCAATTTCCTGTCATATAGTGTATTTACATATAGAGTATTCTACATAGAACGTAATGCCTCCACTTTTTAGTTTGCTTCTAGAAAGAAAAATGTCCTTTCACTTTTAAAAAGACAGGAGGTCAGGTGTGACTTTCAACATTGATGTTTCTGATGCTCTCACTGGAACCTTACTAACAGTCTATACCAAGCAAAAACTCAACACCAGTTCATTTTTTACAGCTTTCTGCTTTAGATGTATTAAAAGAACTAAGATTTCTAGAGCTAGTCATAAAAACAACATTCTGAAAGCACATTTCTGTAAACTGTTCCTGCTATCACATGAAAAACAAGATTAGTTCAATAAGATTAACTCAAAACACAAGAACATTCCACTTCCTATTGTTCAGGCTTGTTTCTTCCTTAATGCACAAATTGTCAGACAGATCAGTGATCCAGTTTAGTAATTTTATCTGAGCAGCTAGTATCAGATACTCCAGAGCAAGATGGACACCAATTATTCTCATCAGATCTGAGAGCATCACTTTGGAATACAAAGCTTGCTACCCTTCCATGTCCAAGACCTTACTTCCAAGATTCCAATAAATAGTTTTAGCATCAGCTTTCACTTTTAAATTCCTCCAGCTCTTCTGGAAATATACTACTGTGACTGAACCACTGCTCATCAACATATCAGCTTGTTTTAATGTCCTATCTAGAAATAGTTGCATTTTTTTAAGTACCTAAAAGAAAAGGCATCACTCCAACATTCAGCATGGTGAAAACTGAGCAAACACTCTCTTCACAGTATCTGTGTCCTTCTGGATGCTTCTCATTCTCTCAAGTCTCCCAAGCCCACCGATCCTCTGTAAAGTCCTGCTTCTTAGATACAGGATTGCAGATAAACTTTCTGTGCATATGATTCCATTAGTAACTCATCCTAGCACCTTCTTAGCTCTTCTAGAAGATATTCTACTTAGCATAATTTACACATCTCTCTTCAAAGAATGGGTGTATTTTCACTTTCTTACCTCCATTTGTCTGAAACTGGCCTCTTGAATTTTAACTGTTTGGTTTTTTTCCTTTTCTAATCTTCACGGGTTTTCCTCCTTCCTCCTTTATCTGTGGGTATGTAAGAATCCACTTCTGCTTCAATACACAGAAGCAAGGCCCATAATGCACACAAGGTCAGCAGGGCTTCCATCTCCGTAAAAAAGAAGTGCTCTCTTTCACTCTTTTTTTTTTTTTTTTTTAAATCCACAATAAAAGACAAATGGAATTATATCACTTCTAAATTACCAAATGTACCATGTCTTTTCTCAACCCTCAACAAAATGAGTGAGTCACTTTGACATAAGGAGGTCTAAACATGGAAAGAAGAAGGAGGGAGGCAGTCTGGGCTAGGCACCCTCTGGCGCCTCTAACGGCAGCACATCACTTAAGGTCTCCACACGTGGCTGAAACCATATCGAAGGACAGAGGCCACAACCTACCACACATTAACAGCCTTCATAAAACGCAGTATGTCACAGGACACTTACACTGCGCCAGATGGATCTGAAAAAGCTGTTTAAAGCTACCACAAAAAAAAAACCCCTGTCTGCTAGGACAAGAAGGTGAGCAGCTTGGAGCGCACCCTGGAGTATTTTCACTATTGAAAGGTACAAGCCTCCAGCTAAATCCAAATATCGAAAGGAAGCAGGATTCTTTTAAAAGACTGTGCAAGTAGCCAAGCCGAGAACAGGCAGGCCTGACTGGTCCAGAGATTCTGTAAACGCTCCAGGAGGAACATCTTGCTCTACATGATGATCATTGAGCAGCCAGTAACCAAGGAGTCTTGTTAATTGTAATCCAGAACCAAGTTTTACACTTCATTATAAATGGTAATGTCCATTTCCACATATAATTAGAAACATACCTTTATATGTTCCTTACGAGGTCTTTGTCCTACATTTTTTACAATCTTGTCTGCCGATACAGGCAAATTTAGGTGAAGCTAGCAAAATTGAGGCTTTCAATTTTTCAGAAATCAGCAAGTCTAATCAAAGCACTCTGCAGGCACCTTAAAACACAGCTAGAGTATGGATACTGAAGGTGACATGCAAAGGTTCTGGGTCCTGGGGAGGTGTTTCCACAGATCAACACTCTCTCTGCAAAGAAATTTTTCAGAAGTCCAAGCAATATGCAAAATATCACAACTTACTTCAGTATCCTGATTCTATTCTTGTGTTTTGACTAGAGAATTTTTTGGAGCTCCCTCCTCATTTTAAAGTCCAACTCTTACAGCCCTGACACTGCACTACTAGAGTTTTTTTTTTTTGGTGGCTGTTGTTTTATTTGGGGGAACAATTATTTGCATAAAGACATCTAGCCTAATTATATTACAATTTATTAATGGCTCAGTTATTAGTATTTCCTGAAACGATTCCAGTGTATTCCCTTATTAAAAACAAACCATGTGTGTCCTAGCACTTACTGCTCCAGGAACACTTACGTTAGGAATTAGTCTTTACGACTTGTCCTTTCGCAGCATTTAACACAAGTGGTCGTGGGAAGTCACTGCTTTATTAGACCATGTCTTTTTGTTCTTCTTTACCCCTGTTACTCTTGGGAGTATTTTTCCATGATATTCATTGTAGAGGAAGGAGAAAAATGTCTATGCTTAAAACAAAAGCAAACCAAAACACAACCCCTCATTTTTTCACCTTAGTTTCACAGAACCTTTCTGTCTAAGGAGAGCTGTCTCACTTCCAGTACAGGAGAGGAGACTGCTTGCTTTCTGTTTACTGAAACAAGCATATCGGCTGATAGTGCTCCTCAGGAGAGCAAACATCCGCAGAGGACAACTGAGCCCATCAGCTCAGTGCTTCCTCCCAGACCAATCCCAAATGCCAACAGTCTGAGCTGGCTGAGAGCTCCTCAGCCATATAAACAAAACTATTTTGCTCTCCTGATCTTAAAAAAAAATAATAATTCAAATTGACATCGAGATAGGGCAAATTGTCAGAAGGAGGTTTTGGGAGGGCTGAGGAAGAAGATGAGAAAGAAACCAGTAGGACTCAGACATGCCCATGGTAACTTTGCATGTAGACAGGACTTTGCATGCATTGCTCTCTCTCCCCCTTCTCCTTAATACCTTTACTCAGCAATGAACTCTTGCTTCTAAGCTTCCCTTGAGAGAAAGCAGGCTGGGCCAAGCTTGCTCCTTCTGTCAGTAAATGCAAGAGCCAGCATAATTCCCAGAGAGCACAGCACAGCTTGCTATGCTGGCTGAAAGGAATAAGGGGGAGGTAAGTCAGATTAGCTGGAGTAAGGTGAGGTTAACTAGAGACATAATGCTATTTCATGTTCTTCCTCCTGCAAACATTTAACTTTTCTACACTGCAAAGAAGCCTTGAGATTCTGGGCTTCCCAGTCTGACAAAAAAAAAAAAAAAAAAAAGACCCTCAGTATCAAATAAAACTCATACATTCTACACAAATTCCCTAAGTTATCGCAGGGCACAAGACTGCACCTACTTCATACTGAATTTATGACAGGTAAAAATCTCACCACTACATATTGACCTTGACAGTGTTTCAGGGAGATATGAGTCAGGTTTAGAAACCACACTTCAAACAATAAGATGTAGGTAAAATATACTCAGTAAAAGGGTCCAAACTAGGAGCATGGTCTGAGTTAAGAAAAGGACGCGTCAGATTGGATTTTTTCACAGGACATTAAATCCACCTCTGTAAACCACGATCATCCTCCTGTGATCTCACCAACAGGAAATTCCAAATCATTCTAAGCATCCTGTCTGTCACTCCATCCTTCCCATTTTCTCCTTTTCTTTATCACCTCCCTTTCCCAGAACCTTTAAATCTCTTAGCCTATTTCAACCAAATTTTCTTTAAAAAGATCTCAAACATATTAGGTTTGGGGAAGTTTCATGTTTTTGTGAAAATCAGTGTCCGAGTACTGAGGAGAAATCAACATTAGTTACAGAGAAAAGCTGCTGATGGACCTCAGCAACATATATACCAAATATTTGCAAAGTCAAATATAGGCAGGCCCTGGCAACTGGAAAAAGGGAAATATTGCACCCATTTTTAAAAAGGGTAGAAAGGAGGACCCTGGGAACTACCAACCTGACAACCTCACATCTGTGCCTGGGAAGACCATGGAAGAGATCCTCCTAGAAGCTATGCTAAGCCACATGGAGGACAGGGAAACGATTCAAGATATACCTGGTTTCAACAGGGGCAAGTCCTGCCTGACTAACCTAGTGGCCTTCTATGATGGAATGACTGCATCAGTGGACAAGGGAAGAGCTACGGATGTCGTCTATCTGGACTTCTTCAAGGCCTTTGACACGGTCCCCCACAACATCCTTAGCTCTAAATTGGAGAGATGTGGATTTGATGGGTGGACTGTTTGGTGGGTGAGGAATTGGTTGGATGATCGCATCCAGAGAGTAATGGCCAGTGGCTCAACGTCCAGATGGGGATCAGTGACAAGTGGCATCCTTCAGGGGTCTGTACTGGGACCAGCGCTGTTTAGTATTATTATCTATGACATAGTGGGATCGAGTGCACTCTCAGCAAATCTGCAGACACCACCAAGCTGAGTGGTGTGCTTGATACACCTGAGGGACAGGATGCCATCCAGAAGGACCTGGACAAGCTTGATAAATGGGCTTGTGTGAACCTCATGAGGTTCAACAAGGC